TCTCCTCCTTCAGCTGTCTGAGTATCCTGCAGTGTACCTGTGACAGTCAGAGGGAAACAAAAAAAGAACCCACATTCTCCTCATGAAGGACTTGGCAACTATTTTACATTCCATTACCCATATGACACAGAGACATTCCGAAAATAAAGAAAGAGGAATCATTCAAACTCAAGAAAACGCAGATATGTGGTCTTATGTACTCTCATCAGTGTGCCACTGGTAATCTATGACCTACTTAAACAGTATATAGGTCACAAAGTACTGATCTCCAGAAGCTACAGGGCACTGAGAAACAGCTAAAGAGCGTTTGATAATTGCCATACATTGATTTCACATATAAACAATTACTGTGGTTGCCACAGGAATATTATGCGTCATCATCTGTGGAGAATACTATAGGTGTCAACAAAAAGGAAGGGAATCACTGCACAGGGACAGGATGCTCCAGAATTGACATCATCTAAATGCAGCTCATTGCTACTGGAGCCATTACTTGGCATTTAAATAGGACTGAAGTCTCAACTCCACTTTCCACAAGACAAGTATCCCTATTACAAAAACATATAGCGACATCCAGCATTTCAAATTTAAAGCTCATGATCCAGTGGACAGACTTCTGTTACCAATACCCTGTCTGCTACACAGACACTGTACCTGCAATTAACTTATGTCTGCACATCATTTAAAAAAAAAAAAAAAAAAAAAAAAAAAACCAAACCAAAAAACCTGCATCGGTGGCCGCCCTGTTTGGTGGACAAGCCAGGAGAAAAGTTTGCTCAGCTTTCAATGCATTCTGCTTCACAATGCAGACAAGGAAAAGGGGAGAAAATATATAAGGAAGATCATTCTCTCATAAATACAAAGTTACCATCCAACATTTGAAAGAAATTCGGCATCTTAATACCTGAGAGGAAAAAAAGTAAAAAGCAAAAAAGATTGTCTTTAAGAGAACAAGCCCTCTGACAATAAATGCTGAAGTCAGATAGAAGAGAAGCAGCTGCAAGGAACCGTATTCCACAGCATAAGACACACAGACAAGACCAGTGATTTCACTACCTTGGTGACAAATGCCCGAAAGCACTGAGGCCATCATCAGTTATGAGCTCACATCATTGTAGAAGCAACCCACCTTTCCCTTCCCTGCTGCCTCCAGCTCATTGCTGCCATCCATTAACCTGTGCTGCACCTAGAAACACCTCTGTGCCACACACTGAACCCGGTTGGGGCAATTAAGAAATCCTTGTGGCTAAAACTAACCACACAAGAAAAGACAAATACATACATGCGTACACAATCAAGGCAGACCAAGGCAGGTCATTTCACAGCCGTACACAGCACCCATAAAATGCAAAATCAGAAAGAAGAGGTGCAACACTGAATGCTAAAGCCGTTCATGCTGCCGAACAGTTGATCACAAAACTCATTTATTCAGACAGGAAATGCATCTCAGAAACATCTTGTTAAATAAGCCAGGCGCATGCAAAGGCAAAGAAGGAAAAATCCACACATTTCCATTAACATTGAGTCATCTATATTAAATTCATATTTGACGTGTTGTTAGACGGCCCCACACATACAAAAAAAGCAAGCATGAAAAGGGTGTCTATTCATTTATACAGAGCTTAGTATTCAAAACTGATTTTACAGACATCCTGCTAACCTGTCTGGCAGAGAATCCTCCAGACGACACAAACAGAGGCTGTCACATTTTCCCTCTTATAAGCAAGGAGTTAAAAGTTCTGAAACTGCTTTTGGCATGCTTTTCTAAAGAATCACGCAGAAAATAATACAGTGTACATCACAGGAGAGAATAATTATTTTGTCTAAGTTAATTTTTTGGGCAAGAACTCACAGCTCAAATCAGACGCGATAAAAGTAGACCAGGAGTTTGTAATTATGTTCTGAAATAACCTTCTCATTAAAGAAACACAAACAAAAGCACTCAAAAATTAAAATGCTTATGAGAAGACACTATCAGTTTATAGAGAAGAAATAAAAAAATCACTGCAGTACAGACTAGAATAAAAACCCAAAAGATCCCTCTCCATTCTATTCTTCAGAACTTTAGGGATGACTGTAACAAGCGCATTCACAGAGACAACTTGAAACCTAGTAACAGCCTTGCAGCTTCATTTTGCCTCCATTAAAACAAAGAGGCAATCTTCAAAACTACCTAATTTCCTCTCGAAAAATGGTATCTCTGTGAATCTGCATACTCTCCAGATTATCTCCAAAGCATTTCCTGCCAGGATCTTTAATGCAACCCTACTGTAGCCCGTGCCTCCAAAGAAACAAAAATATATACCTAATACCAACATGGAACTACGCTGCTCCAGAAAATGTTATGATCTAACCTTCTTAGTTCAGAGGGGTTTGCTCTGTGTTTTTTTGTTGTTTTTGATGCTGCCGTTGCTTTCTTTTGGGGAATTTTGTTTTTCAACATAAGGACATTTCTTACCTAGAATCACAAGCCTGAAACAGCAAATTGGTACAAGGGACGGTCAATGAAGAGCACAGGTAAAATGAGGAACAAACACTGAGCTTTCTGAGCTGGCCAGTGCATGTGTTCCATGGTGCACCTAATAAAGCATTAGACATATTTAGAAGTGGTGCCGTAACATATTCAGTGCTTCAGCTTCAAAGTACTTAAGACTGACTCAATGGATCTTTACTACCTTTGTAGAGCTGACAAAGGTCTGTTCTTCAGTTGTCTGCAAAGGTGTGAGCTCCCTGTGATATGAAGTTGGTGAGCAGGTTTTAAGGAGAAAGCATTCAAAAGATGAAAAGATTCTCTGATCACAAGTATGTTTAAAAAAAAAAAAAATAATCTAGATCTGAAAAGTTACCAATAAAACTACAGTCACTTTCCACAAGGTAAGTGCCTCTAGCTTTCCAATTCATTTAAAACCAACCAAATAAAAACAGCATATGTAAACTCCCAGTCTAGGCTAGAGGGCAAAATACGACTTAGTGTAGCATATGAAATCACAGTAATTTGAATTACTGCAATTTGAATTCACAGTAATTTGAATTCCCAAACGGCTTTTTTTTTTTTTCCCCATTAAAAAAAGATATAATGAAATTTTAAAAAGCACAGTTACAATTAAGCAGAGAGCTTCCTGTACTCATAGCTGAGGAGAATCATATGAATCACTCAATACTGCCAGTATGTACTTGTTACCAGCTCTCACTCACTTCAAGGCAAAATTCAGTACTGTCAGGTAGAAAATAATACATCCTTATCTCCAGAGGGCACTGACACTTGGATCTCATTCTAAGCACTGATAAACTGCCAAGTACAGTCTTGCCCAGTGTAATATATATTTGGAAGAACAAGGATTTTGCTTTTGCATCAAATACAAAGTTTTGTAAAAGCAAATAAGCAAAACCACATGTCAGGTAAGAAATAATACACATCTGCGTTCTGTATGACACACTGGAGGGCAAGCTGAAGAGAACAAGCAACGTTTCTGAAAACTGAGACAAATGTGAAGATATGTAATGGTAGAAGAAATGCTCCAAAAATTAGAACAAGATAACAAATCATACAAATGGCAGAAAATTAAAAAAAAAAAAAAAAAAAAAAAAAAGAAAGAAAGAAAGAGAAAAAGAAAGAAAAAATTCTCACATACTTAATCAGCCTCATTTGCTTAGCCTGAAATACAATCCTCACTGAAATCAGCGGAAAGTGATCTAAAAGTTCTAGAACACACGAATAGTTAATTTGTAACAATAACTTCCACAAATTAAGATGCTCCATTTTGAATCTTGATAACATCAACACCATCATGACAGAAAATAAGTTTTTCAGTGCTTCTTCAAGCCACAGTAAAGAGCAATCCCACAAACCTTTTACCAAGGATAGAGGACATTCTCAGAACAGCAAAAACCTTTCCAAGAATTTTGGAAGCGAGTGGCCAAGAACTAGCCATCCCCCTTGGCACAATTAATTCTGAGCTCAGGATAATCACAGGATTACACTGCATTTTATTTGAGATGGAAGTTTTCCTTGGAGATTGTATTGCATCCCATGTATCATAACCTACACCACTACCCAGGCCAGACATTATGAAAGATGCATAGCCTTGTGCTTTGGGAAATTTAAATTACTTTCCTTATCTCTCCCCTTTATGTGAAAACCAAGAAAATAACCCCATAAACCACAGTCCACAGATTTATGAAACAATGCGAACGTTCCCAGTAGCAATATATGCCACTCACAGTCTCACAAAAACAGCAGATGGACTTTAAAATATTAAAATGCAAGTTTGTTAAAAAATAGCTCTGTTTCATACACACACAATGGTAATTAAGAGAAAGAACATATCATGGCAGCAATACATCCCGAGAAACTTCCCTCCGTGAATTAAAAAAGAAAAAAAAGAAATTTCCCCAGCAGTTGATTTTATCTGAAATCGTGCCTACTCACTTTTGATTTAGAGATCAATTGACATAGCTGAATTTCCTCAGTTCTGTGCTTTGCTTCTGCTATTCAGATTCAGTAACATCCAACTGAAATTAAAACCTGTTTAATCTCACTGTCATTATCCCTAGCACTCAGACATGAAACCTCACACAGTCAAGAGCCACCTCTGTTTTGTGTTGTTACTGGACAATTAATTAAAGGAGAAAAGTTAGAGCACCCAAATAAACGCAGGCCACAGGGGAAGCACAATAGAGGGCTGTTTACAACACACAGTGGATTAAAGGACAGAGTCTGCCAAGTTGTCACTAACACAAGCTGATTAAGTCTGCGTGGCACAGAGCAGACATTAGCATAGGTCGGGAAGCAGTAAAGCACAGTGGCTTGGATGCAGCTCCACACAAACAAGACTGAACTGCTTCTGAAGTTAATCTAAGTATCTGCATGGCACATTTCCTAGCACCGCCTGTTCTAGGACTTGCTTCTGCAGAGCTACTGTGGGTGTAGGCATGCCCACAGTCCTTTTTTCTTGGGAGTCTGTTCAAAAACAATGTTTTTCAAGCGGTTCAGAACTTACCCGCAGTCAGCTCCTCTAGACAGTCTTCAACCAGGGTGAAATTCTGACATCTTCTATCATAACGAGTCAAGGTACCAGCTCCTCCACTCTTTGTAGAGCCTATTAGCACGTTGGAGAAAAAAAAACAACAACAGTTTAAAACAATTTAATCTTAAAAATAAAATCTTCTGGGCTATTTATTTATTTTGTCTAAATAGGAAAAATACTGGAAGGAATACTCAAAATTAAACATTTGGGTCTGCAACTGTGCATTTCCACTCCCTCCTCCTAACACTTCTGAAGACACACAATGGCTGCTCTTGTGAGTCCCAGTATTACACACATCCTCCGTGAGTTAAGAGCCACAGCAACTCAGGAATTACATCAGCCAACTCTGACTCTTCAATAATGCTTTTGAAACACTACAAACTTAAAGTTACCTAAGTGCTTTATAACCTGTTCTCTCTTCACGCCAGCTTAGGGTTTTAGCACTTGCCTTCACTATCAGTTACGTCAGACTCTCTTAGTAAGGATGAGTTGAAAAAAAACCTGTCTTGTTTGTATTTTTGCATTATCTGTCAAAGGCTTTGGTCTTCAAAGAGCAGCAAACCCCATCTTTTTACAAACATTGTATTTCTCTAATGATTTCTTGTTAATCTTTGCCAATTAGCCATTCTGAATGCTTCATTTTAATATCATGTACTTGAGCTATAATTCTCTCACCCTTTAGCATCCTAGCCAGGACTCCTTTCCCCTCCCAGCTGCATTTGATGTTAAGGAACCTCTCATTGCTTTTCACAGTCCCCTCTGTAAAGAAATAGTTTCTATTTCTGCCATTAATATAATTTCCTGAAGGAACAATATCATTCCTATCATTGCTACAGGTCCATATAACAAAATGTTATCTCTTACACTTGTTGCTACTTCAGAACTGAACACCAACTTTCCACCTATTGAATCACCATGCTCACAGCTGCTATGGTAATAACATAACATACAGCAAGCACTGGATTTAAGCTGTGCATAGTTTAGCACTTCCTAAACTAATACAGCACCCGTGAAATGCAAGGCACATTGCTACCACTTTGCAATTTTAAATTGTTGAGAGGAAGAATCAGATAACATTTAATTCATCTTTAATTCATTTAACTTTTTAAAATGCTGCACACTAACTCAAATGCTGTTGAATTTTACTGAAGGCTAATGGGAAATGTTCACGCAAACACAAGTTACAAATTCTGCAAATAATTTTCCTCCTTACAGGCAAAGCCTAAAAGAAATGTCAATGCCTGGAAAAGGGTTCAGATAGCTTCTACACACACCAGCAGTCACATAATTCAGTCATTTTAACAGAGCTACCTTGAACATCAACAGACACAAGGCCCGTATGCCTAGAACGTTGTCTGCTCTCACTTTCAGCAGCTGGTCTACCAAAGAGTATTATACCACCTTTATACCACCACTACCCTCTACCTTCACCCTTACACCCTTCATATTGGGTAGCAGACATTATTTACTTCTTCTGACTAACCCATTTTATTAACAAGCAAACTGCTAAAAGCAACACCAGTATAAGATATAAATTGCACTGAATAAACACATCATAGCTGCCACGTTTGCTAAATGCCTTATTTGTTTCTCTTGGAATATATTTTTTTCAGTAAAACATTCACGTGAATAGAAAGAAGTTTTCCAAGTACAAGGACTCCACTGGCATCCAAGTGAGACAAATCCAGCTCTATATAACATACAGATTATCTACCAAACCATCTCAATAATACCATGCGCTCTGCTGTATCAACACTAGCGAGTCAGGAGCCCCCGAGCACCAGGCTGCTGCTGGCAAACATTGCCACATAAAAATCATGCCAGTGAAATTCTGCTGAAGGCAGATGTAAGCACTGACATCCATAAAGATTCGCTTCTGTGGTATCTGGCAAAGACTTCATACCATCTTTCCCAGTGCTGTTCATTCTGCTGCAACCAAAACGTTAAGAACAGAAATCATTATGAGAGAAAATCAATTTATTTTCTTTCCTCTTTTGGGTTTTTTTTCTTTTAAGAAAACATAGTATTTTTACTTGATATGCTCCACAGCATATGAAAGTATTTCAAGGAGCTGATAAAGAGCTTTCCTATTGTTTTACTGAAACCACTCCAAGCAGGCAAGCAAAATTAATTTTAATGCAAGTCAGGAATTCAGAAAGGAAGTCACCCACTTACACCTAGAAATTCCAAATGCAATTGCAGACTATGTTCTGTGCTTCCCTATACTTAATGGTAAAAAAAGGAAAACTACTTAAAAAGATGTTAAAACAAAGGCATGACTACCCAAAATAACAAGCTAGCTGAAATAACTTAATATTTTCAAATCTCAGAATGAAGTCCCAGCATGACTGCTTCTCTCAATCTACGCCACAGGACATTTGGGAGGGTTAAATAACAGTGTGGGAGCAAACCAAGGAGCAACATGTCCTTTTTATTCGAAGATGTTAATGGCTCATAGAAAAGTATTTGGCTGCGTAACACTTGTCCCAGCTGTACCTCATTGAGGCGCATGAAAAAACTCAGCCTAATTTCAGGTAACACGCAGAGGATAAGAGAGCCCACAGCTCTACACTTGGAAGTGTGTGCTTCCTGAACAGCCCAGCACTCAGGATAAGGAGTTGCTCGTCAGAGGAGAAAAGCTTCAGTCTTCTGTAAGTTTTCTTACTGGACTCTGAATTTATGGCACTGTACTTAAGACATGTTTGTGGCAAAAGAAAAACGTAGAAGCGCCACAAATCTGCAAGAAGGAAACAGCACAGATTTATTCAGTACAGCACTCTGGTGCACTGTGACAAAACAAGCACACGTGATTGTGCAAGTAGCACCTCCCTGCTCAAACTCCTTTCTTCCCTTATATGTTCAAGACATATCCTTACAGAAACACTGCTCTTAACACAATACCAGTACAGCGCCAAAGCAGTAAGCCAAATGATCTCTGTCTCTCAATTGTGTTGCATTAGGACTATAAACTGGCACATGAAAATGAGTAAACATAATTCAGTTAAAGTCATACTGCTTTTTCAGACCCAGCTGCACACCAACAGTTTTTCATTTGCTGCTTTGTTTTGTGTGTCAAAAAAAAAAAATTTGAAGCAAACGTTTAGCTATTGCAAATATATTAACATACATTTCCTCTCCCTCATCAGGGCACCTGGGGTTTTACTAAAGATTCTATCAGTTCAGGTGGGGTTGGTTCCTCAGCAGTTCAATTCCCTGACCATCAGCACAGCAGACGGCACACTGTTAAATTTAATTTATAATTCACAAGTTCACTGGCATTGAGGTCTTTTAAATAGCTTAAAGGTTTTTTGTTTGGTTGGTTGCTGTTTTTTTTTTTTATTTTAATCTACACTAGAAAATCCTTCTTGCTGTGACCTTTTACCGGCATCATTTCATCTGTTCTCCAGGCAAACCAAACTATTACTAGAATGGTGACTACATTAAGGCTACTGATATAAAAACTTTCACAGAAATAAATCTGCCCCTCACTGAGTACACAACACAGACAAGTTGTTCAAAATGAACCAGAATTAGGAGGGGAAAGGGCAGAAGTATCTTTCAGCAACAGTTGCTTACACAAAGAGCTTAGCACTGTTTTTATTATCACACAGCGTGACTGGCTGGTTTAAACCAAACCAGAAAAGCTATATGAATGCATGCAGTGACTAAATAACTACAGTGATGTCTGTCATGCTGTTTGCAGAGTGGGGTAGAGGTGCAAGGGGAGAAAACATTTCACTATTCCTCTGCAGATACACAGGAAAAACGACACAATAAAAATACCTAACACTTAGCACTAATCTTACCATGTATTTCCCCACACAGAAGCAGATAACATGTCCTCTATGATGCTAATTATGACTAAAATTAACTGTTACTGTGCACTCAGGCAATTCCGTATTACTTCACACTTGGACATTTTCTCTTTTTGTTTCCCCTTAGAAGTCACTGATTCCTCAATAACTTCACCCATGGGGAGCCACCACAGTGTGAAGCCAAACAAATTCCACAACAAATTTTGCAACTGCAATGAAAATGTGCTACCTTTCGTCCAGAGACAAAACAAAAGCAAATCAAAGTTCTAAGTAGATCTGAAACATACTCATCCAAGACCTCATTCCTCCTTTTCAGGTGGCAGCTTATTGCAGAGAGAAGCCAAGTGTTATTTAGTATGTGCAGAACAATGGTTTCAGGCCTCCTGCACGCAGATAGTTCTATTTATTTCTTATTTCCCAGCTTTTCTCCCACTAGATATCAAAGGCAATATTCATAAACTATACCTTCAGGTGCTTTGAGCTTCAACTACCACTGTTAGAGGGCCTTAGCTTACCTGCTCTATTTTCATTCTGTACTGAATTGACTCATCAGAATGTGCCCTTCAGAATCACTTTTGATAAGCATTTTGGGCCACACAATTTAAAAAGGAAAGTGCCCTTATCACACCATCAATATGACTCATTTACTATAAGATACTTACACATAGCCCTAGGAAGAGCTCATGATCAATACTGTAAGACAGAAAGTAAGATAGGTTCCCCAAAGCTTCTTAGTCTTTCTAAAAGTAACTTCAGCTGTGAACACTTTGTGCTTACCACAGCAGCTCCAAACTTAAATCAACACTTCAATAACATATTGGTGTGTCTTATAGCACAGGACTAATTCCCGCATACAACAATAAGCACCACTTATTGCTATATGCATTCACGAGTGCATTCAAAACTGTTCTTTCAATTTAGCTTAGTAAGTTTTCAGACCTGACCTAAGTCTATCTGACCTGTTCTACAAGACAGTATGAAATCCCGTATCTCACTTACAGAAGGGATGAATTCAATCAGGACAAAGCACTGAGGGAAGTTTGCACGAGCTTTTAAAGATACAGCAACTCTTACAGAAAAGCCATACTAATAGCCATTCGACTGTGCAGCTAAAAGGACAGAGAAATTCAGAATTTTCAGGTCATAGAGCCTCAGCTTTTGTCCAGAACAGTTCTTTGTAGTTTCCTCTGGAAGCACCCTAAGGCTTTCAAACTCAGCAACATGTTGTCAGAGTACTGGAAGTTCGTCTGTAGCACA